CACCCACCGCCCCCTCCGCCGCCCATCCCGGCTGGAATGCCGCGGGGGGGCGGGCAGGAAGGAGTTAACTCGGTGTGGATGATAACGGCCCTTTGTGTCACCAGTGGGGGGGGCGAGCACGGGCTCGGCCCCGCCGGCGCGGGCGGGGGTGTGGAAGCCACTCTCCGTCCGTGGGCGATGCTGGCGCCGCCGGCCCCGCTGCCGGCCCCGCTGCTGGCCCCGCTGCTGGCCCCGGGGGTGGCCCTGGTGGCCCCGGTGGCCCCGGGGGTGGCCCCGAGCCCCCCAAGAAGCGCTACCCCACGGCCGAGCAGATCCAGGTGATCGGGGGGTACCTGGCGCTGCCGCGCTCCTGCCTGGCCAAGGGCGAGCCCCGGCGCAAGAAGGTAACGGGGGCGCCCGCCTGGCACCTGTGTGGCACCTGTGTGGCACCTGTCACCTGTGTAACCCCCTGTGTCACCTGTGTCACCTGTGTGTCACCTGTCACCTGTGTAACCCCCTGTGTCACCTGTGTCACCTGTGTGTCACCTGTCACCTGTGTAACCCCCTGTGCCACCTGTCTGTCACCTGTGTAACCCCCTGCGTCACCTGCGTCACCTGTGTGGCACCTGTGTAACCCTTGTGTAACTCCCCTGTGTTACCTGTGTGACCTGTCTGTCACCTGTGTGGCACCGGTGTCACCTGTGTCACCTGTCTGTCACCTGTGTGTCACCTGTCACCTGTGTAACCCCCTGTGCCACCTGTGTGGCACCTGTGTAACCCCCTACGTCACCTGTGCCACCTGTGTGGCACCTGTGTAACCCTTGTGTAACTCCCCTGTGTTACCTGTGTCACCTGTGTTACCTGTGACACTGTGTGTCACCTGTCTGTCACCTGTGCCACCTGTGTGCCACCTGTCTGTCACCTGTGTAACCCTATTGTGTTATCTGTGTCACCTGTCTGTCACCTGTGCCACCTGTGCGTCACGTGTCTGTCACCTGTGCCACCTGTGTAACCCCCTGTGCCACCTGTGTGTCACCTCTGCCACCTGTCTGTCACTTGTGTCACCTGCGTCCCCAAATGTTCCCAAATGTCCTCAAATGTCTTCAACGCCCCCAATCCCTCTTGATGTCCCCAATCCCCCCAAACATCCCCAATCCCCCAAATCCCCTAAACGTCCCCAAAAGTCCCTAAAAGTCCCCAAATCCCCCCAAAGTCCCTAAATGTCCCCAAATCCCCTAAATGTCCCCAAAGTCCCCAAATCCCCCAAACGTCCCCAATTCCCCAAATCCCTCAAATGTCCCCAAAGTCCCCAAATTTCCATAATGTCCCCAAATGCCCCCAAAGTCCCCAAATTCCCCCAAAAGCCCAGACTCGCCCCAATTCCCCCAATGTCCCCAACCTCCCCAAATCCCCCCGATGTCCCCAATGCCCCACTGGGATGCACAGGGGGACCCCCCGGAGCCCCGGAGGAGGAGGAGGAGGAGGAAGAGGAGGAGCCCCCTCCCCCCACGCTGCGGGGGGGGCTGCGGGGCCGCGCCCTGCTCGTGGGTGGGTGAGGGGAGGGGGTTTTGGGGGGATTTGGGGCAAAATTTGGGGGGTTTTGGGAAGAGATTTGGGGGGTTTGGTTCATTTGAGGGGGAAATCTGGGGGTTTTGAGGGGGGGTTGGGGAATTTTCAGGGATTTTGGGTGATTTTGGAAAGGATTTGGGGGGTTTTGGTTAATTTGGGGGGGATTTGGGGGTCTTGGGAAAAGATTTGGGGAGTTTTGGGGGGACTTTGGCGGCTTTTGGGGGAATTAATGTTTTGGGGTCTTGGCGGAATTTTGTGTAAATTTTGTGGGGTTCTTGTGGATTTGGGGGTAATTTTGAGTACATTTTGTGATGTTCTGGTAAATTTTGGGGCGATTTGGGTTCATTTTGGGGGTCCCTAACACATTTCCCCTCTCCCCAGACGAATCCTGCCGTCGGTAACCCCGGCCCAGCCCCCCGGGACCCCCCAGGACCCTCCGGACGGGGCCGGACGCTCGGACAGGGCCGGACACAGGGGGGGTTGGGGAATTTTCAGGGATTTTGGGTGATTTTGGAAAGGATTTGGGGGGTTTTGGTTAATTTGGGGGGGATTTGGGGGTCTTGGGAAAAGATTTGGGGAGTTTTGGGGGGACTTTGGCGGCTTTTGGGGGAATTTTAGTGTCTTGGGGTCTTGGCGGAATTTTGTGTAAATTTTGTGGGGTTCTTGTGGATTTGGGGGTAATTTTGAGTACATTTTGTGATGTTCTGGTAAATTTTGGGGCGATTTGGGTTCATTTTGGGGGTCCCTAACACATTTCCCCTCTCCCCAGACGAATCCTGCCGTCGGTAACCCCGGCCCAGCCCCCCGGGACCCCCCAGGACCCTCCGGACGGGGCCGGACGCTCGGACAGGGCCGGACACATGGACAGACCCCACCCAAACCCCCCTCGGGGAGGGGTTCCAGAACATTCCACCCCCCCGGCAGGGTCTGGGGGTTTTTTTACACCATTTTGTAGATTTTTAGTACTGGGGGGCGGTTTTTAATTGTTCTTAATGAGGTTTTTTTTTATCCTAATTAAGGGTTTTATAACTTGGCGGGGGGGGGAATTTTGTCAGTATTGTGTCCCAGTTTGGACTGGGCCTGGACCAGTTTGGACTGGGAGGGGGGGGATGGGGAGGTGGTGGATTTGAGGGGGGAGGGGGCGAAAATGGCGCGGGACGGAGTAGGCCGAAGCCTGCGGCCTGGTCTTGTTGCCGCGGCAACGAAACCTGCGGCCTGTGTGCTGCCAAGGCCTGGTTTGGTTGCCAAGACAACAAAGCCTGTGGCCTGTGCGTGTTACCATGGCAACAAGGCCTTCTCCTTGTTGCCATGGTAACAAAGACCGCGGCCTGTGTACTCCTAAAGCCTGTGGCCTGCTCCTGTCGTCATGGCAACGAAGCCTGCGGCCTGCCTACTCCCAAGGCCTGCTCCGGTTGCCGTGGTAACGAAGCCTGCGGCCTGCCTACTCCCAAGGCCTGCTCCTGTTGCCGTGGTAACGAAGCCTGCGGCCTGCCTACTCCCAAGGCCTGCTCCAGTTGCTGTGGCAACACTGCTTGTATCACGGAAAATTCATCCAAATATAATAAAAAAGGCCAAAAAAGGGCTCAAAAAACGTTAAAAAAGGGCCCAAAAAAGCTTCAAAAAATGGGGATTTTTTTTATTATTAAAGGGAATTTTTAAAGGAAAAGGGGTTTGGGTAGAAGAAAAGGATTTTCTGTGTGAAAAAATTGGTTTGGTTGGAAAAAAAATAGAATTTTTGAGTGAAAGGTTGAAGTTCCAAGGAAAAAAAAGCAGATTTATTTGAAATCTGAGTGTTCTGAAAAGGAAAAGATTGAGTTTATTGAGGTATCTGGTGTTTTTTTTCCAAGAAAAATAAAATTATTTGGGGGCAAAATAATTTTTTGTAATTTTTTGGTAAAATGATTTCTTTTTGGGAAGTTTTACTTGGGAGGAAAAGTATTTTTAAGGGAAAAAATTGATATTTTTAGGAAGAAATGGGAAATTTTGGACAATTTTTGGACAACGTTTGAGAATATTTTACAATTTTTGGACAATTTTGGGGCAACTTTTGACTATTTTTTACAAACTTTGGACATTTTTGACAATTTTTGAGGGAAAAAAATTATATTTAAAACTCAAAAAAGCCCCCAAAATCACAAAGCTTTAAATAATCAATGTACAAAACCCAGAACTTCTGCCCCAAAAATCAGCCCAGCCCCTCCCCCACCGCGGGTAATTAAATCCTGCCGTTAATGAGGGGGACGGCCGTGGTCACTCAGTGGGTGGTCAGTGACGATGATGATGATGATGATGAAGGCGATGGTCACTCCAGGGCCCCGCGGTCACTCAGTGGGTGGTCAGTGATGATGATGATGATGATGATGATGAAGGTGACGGTCACTCCAGGGCCCCGCGGTCAGTGGGTGGTCAGTGATGAAGATGAAGGTGATGAAGATGACCGTGGTCACTCCAGGGCCCTGTGGTCACTCAGTGGGCGGTCAGTGATGATGATGAAGGTGATGAGGATGATGATGAAGGTGACGGTCACTCCAGGGCCCCGCGGTCACTCAGGGTCCGGTGCAGGTGGCCGAGGGGCAGTCAGTGACGATGATGACGATGATGATGAAGGCGATGGTCACTCCAGGGCCCCGCGGTCACTCAGGGTCCGGTGCAGGTGGCCGAAGTCCGGCCGCTCGGCCGCCTCGCGGGCCCAGCAGCGCCGCATCAGCTGGTGCAGGGCCGGGGGGCAGCCGGGGGGGCAGGGCAGGTACTGCTGGAACCGGGGTTACTGGGACGGACTTGGACTGGGATGGACTGGGATGGACTGGGATGGGCCTGGGAGGGACTGGGATGGACTGGGAGGGACTGGGGTGGGACTGGGGGGGACTGGGAATGGGATAACTGGGCCCCATAACACCCCATCCCAGTAGCTCCCAGTGCCTCCCAGTCAATCCCAGTCCATTCTCAGTTCCCTCCCAGTTCATCCCAGTCCCTCCCAGTCCCCCCCAGTGCTCCCAGTCCCTCTCCAATCCCTTCCAATCCCCTCCCAGTTCATCCCAGTCCACTCCCAATCCCTCCCAGTCAATCCCAGTTCCCTCCCAGTCCCTCCCAGTGCTCCCAGTGCTCCCAGTCCCACCTGCTGGCCGCGGTTCTGGAAGTGGTGCCCGGCGTTGGCGATCACCTGCTCGTCGCTCAGGGCGCCGTAGGGCGGCTCCCGGCAGCGCGTCAGCACCTCCCAGAGCGTCACCCCGAAGGCCCAGGCGTCGCTGGCCGGGCTGAACGTCCCCTGCGACCCCAAATTTGGGGATTTTGGGGATTTTTGGGATTTTTGGGGGATTTTTTGGGGTTTTTTTTGAGTTTTCAGGAGGGCGGGAAGTGGAAATTTGGGGTTTCAGCACCTCCCGGAGCGTCACCCCGAAGGCCCAGGCGTCGCTGGCCGGGCTGAACGTCCCCTGCGACCCCAAATTTGGGGATTTTGGGGATTTTTGGGAGTTTTCAGGAGCTCAGAGTCAAAATTTCCCAATTTCCCCCCTCAAAATCTCAAATTTTTCCCAGTTTTTCCCCCAAACCCTGATTTTTTTCCGCAAAAATCCCAAATTTCCTCCCAAATTCAGTTTTTTAAAATTTTTCCCCCAAAATCCAATTTTTTTCCAATTTCCCCCAGTTTTCTTCCCATCTTTCCCCAATTTTCCCCCCAAAATCCTTCTTCCCATTTTCCCCAAAAAATCCCATTCCCTCCCAATTTTTCCTCCTAAATCCAATTTTTCCCCTAAAAATCTGAATTTTTCCGATTTTTTCCCCATGTTTCCCCCCCAAAACCCTCATTTTTTCACCCAAAATGACTTTTTTTCCCCCCCACTTAATTTTTTTTCCTTTTTTTCCCAATTTTCCTCATTTCGGCTCATCCCGAAATCCCAATTTTCCTCCCATTTATCCCCAAAACACCAACTTTTTCCCATTTCCCCCCCAAAACCTCAATTCTTCCTCCCAATTTTTCCTCCCCAAACCCCAATTTTCGCATTAATTTATCACCAAAAATCCCTCAATTTTTTCCCAAATTTTTCCAATTTTTTTCCACATTTTTTCATAATTTCCCCATTTTTTCACCATTTCCCCCATTTTTCACCATTTTTCTCCATTTTTCCCCCCAAACGCCAATTTTTTCCTGCTAAAATAATTTTTTCTTAATATTGCCCTCCAAAATTCAATTTTTTTTTCCCAATTTCCCCCCAAAAATCCAATTTTTTCTCAATTTTTTTTCCGTTTTTTCGCCAAAAATTCAAATTTTCCCCATTTTTTTCCCGATTTCTCGGTGTTTCTCCCCGTTGCTCACCCAGAGGATGCTCTCCCAGGCCATCCAGCGGATGGGCAGCAGCGCGCGGCCCCGCACCCGGCAGTACTCGGTGCCGTAGAGGCTCCGGCTCATCCCGAAATCGGCCACCTTGACCCGCAGCCCCTCCCCCACCAGGCAGTTCCGCGTGGCCAGGTCCCGGTGCACGAAGTTCCGCGCGGCCAGGAAGCGCATCCCGGCCGCGATCTGCGCGCCGAGGTGCACCAGCGTGGCCAGGCTGCGACAAAAAAATTCCATTTTCAGATTTTTCCCAAAATAATCACTTTTTTCCCCCAAAAAAATCGCTTTTTCCCCCCCCCAAAAATGGCTTTTTCCCCCCAAAAAAATGTGATTTTCCTGCATTTATTTGTGCCTTTTTACCCCAAAAAATATCATTTCTTCAAGACAAAAAAAAATTTCTACCCTAAATCCCCGCAAAAAATTGTTTTTTTAAAAAAAAAATCTAATTTTTTTCTCTTTTTTCACCATTTTTCCTCACAAAAACGTGATTCCCTTCAGCCCGGCCGGGAAGCGCATCCCGGCCGCGATCTGCGCGCCAAGATGCACCAGCATGGCCAGGCTGGGGGAAAAATTCAATTTTCAGGATTGTTGCTCACCCAGAGGATGCTCTCCCAGGCCATCCAGCGGATGGGCAGCAGCGCGCGGCCCCGCACCCGGCAGTACTCGGTGCCGTAGAGGCTCCGGCTCATCCCGAAATCGGCCACCTTGACCCGCAGCCCCTCCCCCACCAGGCAGTTCCGCGTGGCCAGGTCCCGGTGCACGAAGTTCCGCGCGGCCAGGAAGCGCATCCCGGCCGCGATCTGCGCGCCGAGGTGCACCAGCGTGGCCAGGCTGCGACAAAAAAATTCCATTTTCAGATTTTTCCCAAAATAATCACTTTTTTCCCCAAAAAAATCGCTTTTCCCCCCCCCAAAAATGGCTTTTTCCCCCCAAAAAATGTGATTTTCCTGCATTTATTTGTGCCTTTTTACCCCAAAAAATATCATTTCTTCAAGACAAAAAAAAATTTCTACCCTAAATCCCCCCAAAAAATTGTTTTTTAAAAAAAAAATCTAATTTTTTTCTCTTTTTTCACCATTTTTCCTCACAAAAACGTGATTCCCTTCAGCCCGGCCGGGAAGCGCATCCCGGCCGCGATCTGCGCGCCAAGATGCACCAGCATGGCCAGGCTGGGGGAAAAATTCAATTTTCAGGATTTTGCCCAAAATAGATTTTTTTTCCATTAAAAAATAGCTTTTTCCCCCCAAAAATGGCGCTTTTTTCCCAAAAATCCGATTTTTCTGCATTTATTTGTGCCTTTTTTACCCCCCCAAAAAATCATTTTTTCAAAACAAAAAAAATATTCTGCACTAAATACCCCCAAAATTTGCTTTTTTTAACAAAAATCCAAATTTTTCTCAATTTTTTCTCCATTTTCCCCCACAAAAACGCGATTCCCTTCAGCCCGGCCAGGAAGCGCATCCCGGCCACAATTTTTTCCCCAAAAATTCCCATTTTCCCACCCTAAATCCTGATTTTTCCCCAAACCCCCCATTTTTCCTGCTAAAAAATACAATTTGTCCTCCCTAAATCCTGATTTTTCCAAAAATTATCATTTTTCCCCAAGAAAAACTGCAATTTCCCTCTCCTTTTTCCTCTTTTTCATGAAAAAAAATTGATTTTCACAGAAAAAAATTCCATTTTTCTTTATCTTTTCCTGTTTTTCCTCCCTAAAAAAGCATTTTTTCCCCAAAAATCCAATTTTCCCGCCCCAAATCCCAGAGGGGGCGTGGCCTGAGAGGACGTGGCAGTTGGGGGCGTGGCCAGAGGAGTGGGAGTGGCTTATTAACAATGGGCGTGGCTTAATTGGGGTGGGCGCTTCTCTTAAAGGGCCAGAACCACAGAAATTTTTTTAGGGAAAAACTTTAAGTGGGCGTGGCCTTGGTGGGCGTGTCCCAGCCAGGTGCGGGGGTGTGGGCGTGTCCCACCTGAGGGCGTGGCCGCGGGGCCCGCCCAGGAACTGGTGCAGGTCTCCGTGCTCCATGTACTCGGTGACGATGCACAGGGGCCCCGGCCCCCCGCACACGCCCAGCAGCCGCACGATGTTGGGGTCCCGCAGCCGGCCCAGCGTCCGCGCCTCCTGCAGGAAATCCCGCCTGGGGGCGCCGGGGGGGTCAGCGCACCTGGGATACACCTGGGTGCACGTGGGCACACCTGGGAATGCCCTGGGCACACCTGGGCACACCTAGATAACACCCTGAGTACACCTGGGCACACCTGGGAATGCCCTGGGCACACCTGGGATACACCTGGGCACACCTGGGATACACCTGGGTACACCTGGGATACACCTGCCAGTCCCTCCCAGTCCATCCCAGTCCCTCCCAGTCCCTCCCAGTCCCCCCAGTTCCCGTACCGGGCGTTCTTGGTGGCGTCCGGCCGCAGCACCTTGACCGCCACCAGCAGGGGGCGCTCTGCGGCCAGGGGGGCGGGGCTTGAGCCGGGGGGCGGGGCCAGGCCCAGGGTGTGGGGGGCGATGACCTCACACAGCAGCACCTGGGGGCGGGGCCACAGAAAGAGGAGGGGCCTCAGAAAAGGGGCGGGGCAACAACAGCACAGCATTTGGGGTGGGGCCAAAGGAAAGGGGGTGTGGCCAAATCAGTGAGGGTGTGGCCAAATAGAAAGGGGCGGTGCCTTTGCAATGGGGCGGGGCTAAAGCCATAGTGGGTGTGGCCTTGAAAATGGCTGGGGGCAAACAATTTGGGGGTGTGGCAAGTCATTTAGGGGCGTGGCTAAAGACCTTTAGGGGTGGGGCTAGGCCACAGTGTGTGTCACCTCAGTGGGGGCGTGGCTTGGTCCTGGGGGCGTGACTTACCTCTCCGAACTGCCCCTCCCCCAGCTTCTCCCGGAAGCGGAGGCGGTCCCGAGGGAAGGCCGGGAGGGCGGGGCCGTGGGCGGGGCTGAGGGCGGGGCCAGCCAGGGCGTAGGCGGAGCCCCCGGTGACGTCAGCCTCAGCGTAAGCCCCCGCCCCCACCTCGGGCTCACCTGCGCAGGTGGGAGGGGCACGGGTGAGGTCACTGTGGGTGTGGCTAAAGTGGGCGTGGCCCTCCCCGAGCCGCACCCTTACCGTCAGTGTTGATTGGCTTGGCGGCGTTGGGCGGGGCCAGGGCGAGGCCTCCTATTGGCCGGGCATAGGTGGCCAGGAGCAGCCGATAGGCCGGGTTGGCTGGGGGGCGTGGTCAGAGATGGGCGTGGTCAGGGGATTTTGGGGGCCATTTTGAGCCTTTTTCCTCATTTTTGGACCCAATTTTTTTTGGGGTACTCCAGGAAAAAAAAGGGTGGAATCCTCCCTCTTTTTTTCCCCTCTTTTTTCCCCTTTTCCCCTCCCATTTCCCCCTTTTTCTCTCTTTTCCCTTTTTTCTCCTTTTTCCTTTTTCCCCCTTTTCCCTTCCCCCCCCATTCTCCCTCTTCTTTCCCGTTTTTCCTTTTCCCCTTTTTCCCCCATTTTTTCCCTTTTCCCCCTTTTCCCTTCCCCCCCCATTCCCCCTCTCCTTTCCCGTTTTTCCTTTTCCCCTTTTCCCCCCATTTTTTCCCTTTTCCCCCTCCCTTTCCCCTCCTTTTTTCCTCTCCTTTTTTCCCATTTCCCCCCATTTCCCCCCTTTTCCCCATTTTTTCCCTTTTCCTCCTCCCTTTTCCCCCCCATTTTTCCCCCCCATTTTTCCCTCCAATTTTCCCCCCCTTTTTTCCTCCCCTTTTCCCCCAATTTTCCCCCATTTCCCCCCATTTTTCCTCCATTTCCCACCCCCTTTTTTCCCCTTTTCCCCCTCCCCTCTCTCACCAGCCCCGGGGGGCTCGGGGGGCGCTCGGGGCCGTGCCCGGGTGGGTTCCTGGTACTCCCCACTCCCGGTCCCGGTTCCGTTCCCGGTCCCGGTTCCGATCCGCTCGTAGCGGGGTCCCCCCCGCGCCCCTCCCCCCGCCGTGGCGTTGTTGATGACCACGGTGTCCCCCGAGAGCTGCACCCGCAGCGCCGCCTCCGCCCCGCGGGCCTGGGGACCAGCAAAAACCAGTCAGCACCAGTTCGGACCAGTTCAGACCAGTTAGAACCAGTTAGAACCGTTTCAGAGCAGTTAGAACCACTTCAGCCCCAATTTAGACCAGTTAGAGCCGCTTCAGCCCCAGTTCAGACCAGTTAGGACCAGTTAGAACTGGTTATAACCAGTTAGAACCACTTAGAACCAGTTTAGAGCAGTTAGAACCAGTTCAGTCCCAATTCAGACCAGTTAGAACCGGTTCAGACCAGTTAGAACCAGTTCAGTCCCAGTTCAGACTAGTAAGAACCAGTTAGGACCAGTTAGAACCAGTTCAGAGCAGTTAGAACTGCTTCAGCCCCAATTTAGACCAATTATAACCAGTTCAGACCAGTTAGAACCAGTTCAGTCCCAGTTCAGACCAGTTAAAACTGGTTAGAACCAGTTAGAACCAGTGCAGAGCAGTTAGAACCGCTTCAGCCCCAATTTAGACCAATTATAACCAGTTCAGACCGGTAAAAACCAGTTCAGCCCCTCCCAGTTTATCCCAATCCCCTCCCACTCCCTCCCAGTCCCCCCCCAATCCCCTCCCAGTCCCTCCCAGTCCCTCCCACAGTGCTCCCAGTCCCCCCCAGTCCCTCCCAGTGACCTTGCCCAGCGGCCCGGCCGCGCCGCGCCGCCGCCGCAGGATGAGGATGATGATGGCGAGCAGGAGGAGGATGATGGCGCCCAGGCAGCCCAGCAGCGCCGGCGACTGCCCCGCCTCGCCCTGGGCCGCCGGCGGGACCAGTCCGGCCTCCCCGGGGGCTGCTGGGAGGAATGGGAGGGGCGGGAGGGCGGCGTGGCCACGCCCACCTCGGATAAGCCACGCCCATTTACCCCCACCACACTGAACCCCACCCACTTAAGCCCCACCCATTTTCACCTCCATTAGGCCACACCCAATTAAGCCCCACCCATTTACATCTCCATTAAGCCACACCCCATTAAGCCCCACCCAGTTAAGCCCCGCCTACCCAGGGCAGTGGTGTTGGTGGCCCCGCCCCCGGCGTGGGCGTTTTCCAAGATGGCGGCAGAGGGGTCAGGGGTCGGGGGCCACCCGCTGGCACCCACGGGGTCGTCCAGCACCTCTGGGGGTGGGGACGGTCATTGATGATGTCATCAACGGTCAATGACGTCATCGACAATAAAATAATGAACAATCAACGACTTTATCACTAAATTGGTGACGTCATTGATTGACGATGAACCCAACAGTCAACCAATGATGTCATCAACCAACCGTTGACTCCCATGACCCAATGGATGACCCCATGACCCAACCAATGACCCCATGACCCAATGGATGACCCCATGACCCAACCGTTGATCCCATGACCCAACCAATGACCCCAACACCCAACCATTGACCCCAACACCCAACCATTGACCCCATGACCCAACCATTGACCCCATGATCCAACCATTGACCCCATGATCCAACCGTTGACCCCAACACCCAACTGTTGACCCCAACACCCAACCGTTGACCACATGACCCAACCAATGACCCCATGACCCAACCCTTGACCCCAACACCCAACCATTGACCCCATGACCCAACCGTTGACCCCAACACCCAACCTGAGACGAAGGACACCTCACTGAAGAGCATCCACTCGGCGCCGAAGAAGAAGCGGCACTGGATGAAGCGGGCGTGGCGCCTGCCCAAGGGGACGGTGACCGAGCGGGCGCTGGGGTCCTTGGTGGCCCCGGCCAGGCTGTGGGTGACCACCGTGGGCTCCCAGGCCGTGGCCAAGATCTTCTTGAAGCGACACTCGACCGCCCGGAAGATTCCGACGCCGCGCGTGTGGAGGTTGTTGCAGTGGACCTGGGGGGGTGACAATGCATCCCATGATGCTCTGGGGCACGGTGACCAATCCAGATGTTCTCCAGAGGGACATCCCAGACCTCGAGCTGGGATTGACGTGGTGTCCCCCCATCCGTCCATCCATGGCTGACCAATCCCACAGTTCCCAGCGCCCCAAATCTCCCAGCATTCCCGGGGGCACCTGCATGGCGTGGAAGGTGCGGAGCTCCTGGAACTCGAACTCCAGCTCCACGTGGGGGTGGGGCCCCGGTGGCCGCGGCCACCCCACGTAGTCGTAGCCCGGCCACAGGCGGCGCTCGCGGGTCCTCAGGAAGTCGTCGAGGCCCAGGACGCCGTCCGAGAGCTGGCCCAGCCCCCCGAAGTGCAACCTGGGCAGGTGGGACTCACCTGGATGTGGGGATTGTCCTGTCCCACCCACCTGGAGACCCCCCAGTGACACCTGGGCAGGTGGGGACACACCTGGACACTGGGAGTGTCCCCTCCCACCCACCTGTGGACAACCTGGGACAGTTTGGGGACACCTGGAGACACCTGGGGACACTTTGAGGACCACTGGGGACATCTGGAAAGCTCCTGGGACAGTTTGGGGACACCTTGGGGGGGTTGGATGCAGGAAATTTGGGAATTCTTGGGGCAGGTGGCCCTTGGGGACACCTGGGGACACCTGGGGACACTTTGGGACTCACGGGCCAGCGCTGAAGCCGTCGTAGGTGGAGTCGTTGAGGACGATGGGGACGGGGTCCAGGGCCATGACGTGTCCCCGCGGGGCCGTGTAGGACAAGAGCCCGGCTGGGGACGGGGACGGGGACGCGTCACCCCAGGGTCACCCCGGGGTCACCATGGGGTCACCCCGGGGTCACCCTGGGGTCACCAGCAGGTTAACAGGGGGCACGTGGCCATAGAGGGTCACCACCCCTTTGGGGACATCCAAGAGGTGGCGCTGGGTGGGATGGGTGGCCATGGTGATGTCATGAGGAGGTGGATGATGTCATGAGCCAATGGATGACGTCATCAACTGTCGACTCCATGACCCAACCATTGACCCCAACACCCAATGGATGACCCCAACATCCAATGGATGACCCCAAAACCCAACCGTTGATCCCATGACCCAACCACTGACCTCAACACCCAACCGTTGACCCCAACACCCAACCACTGACCCCAACACCCAACCGTTGACCTCAACACCCAACCATTGACCCCAACACCCAACCGTTGACCCCAACACCCAACCATTGACCCCAACACCCAACCATTGACCCCAACACTCAACCATTGACCCCAACACTCAACTCTTGACCCCAACACCCAACCCTTGACCCCACAATGACAAGACCCCAACCCAGGTGCCCCAGGGCCACCACCAAGGGTCATTGGGTGGAGGACGTGGCCATGGGCAACCACCACACTTTTTGGGCCACCAGAGGGGTGGGACAGGGGTGACTCAGGGGTGACAGGGAGGTGACAGGGAGGTGGCACGGAGGTGGCACGGAGGTGGCACTCACCCTCCCAGGGGCAGCCGTAGAGCTCGAGGCGCAGGCAGACGCTCATGGCGCGCGGCGCCCGTGGGTACACCCGGAGCGCCCGGGCCACCGGCGCCGGGGACAGGTCCTTGAGCACCACCCCCTCGGGGTCCTCGTTGCCACCGATCACCTGAGGCGACACCGACCGCGGCCGGTGGCACCCGAGGGTGGCGTCAGCCAAGGAGATCCCGAGGATTTCTCCGGATTTGTCACAGCCCGAGGTGCCCAGGGTGTCCCCAAGGTCCCCCATGGCCTCGGGTCCACAGTGTCCCCAATGTTCCCAAATGTCCCCAATGCCCTCAATGTCCCCAAAGTCCCCAAACCCCTCGATGTCGCTGATGGCCCCAATGTCCCCAAATCCCTCAAAGCGCTCAATCCCCAAATGTCCCCAAATCCCCTTGATGTCCCCAACATCTCCAATGTCCCCAACACCCCTGACGTCCCCAAATCCCCTTGACATCCCCAATGTCCTCAATGTCCCCAAACGTCCCCAACACCCCCAATGACCCCAAATGTCCCCAAATCCCCTCAATGCCCCCAATGCCCCCAATGTCCCCAAATCCCCTCAATGTCCCAAATGTCCCCAAATCCCCTCAATGTCCCAAAATCCCCCCAATGTCCCCAAATCCCCTTGACGTTCCCAACGTCCCCAACACCCCCAATCCCCCCAATGTCCCCAAATCCCCTTGACGCCCCCGACGTCCCCAACCCCCCCGCGATGTCCCCAAGGCCACCTCGTCGCCCCAGCGGTCCCTCCAGCGCAGCCAGCGGCGCCGGTCGCGGCTGTAGCGCAGCCGGTACTGCCGCGCGAACTCGCGGCCGTGTCCCCCCGCGTGGCGTCCCTGGGTCCCCACCAGCGTCACCAGGTGCAGCCGGCCCAGGTCCACCTCCAGGAACTCCTGCTCGGCCGGGAACACCGGCCCCGCCGGACACCAGGCGCCGTCCCCGTCACTGCGGCCCAGCCTGGGGACATTTGGGGACACTTGGGGACATTTGGGGACATTGGAGACATTTGGGACCCTCAAGGATGTGGGAAGGGCCAAAGAATTTGGGGACATTTTGAGGTTTGGGGACACTCGGGGGACCTGCTGGACAGCAGGCCCTTATACTAGTTTAAACTGGTTTATACTGGTCTGTACTGATCTGAACTGGTTCTATACTGGTCCAAACTGGTCTGAACTGGTTTATACCAGTCCATACTGGTTTATCCTGGCCTGAACTGGATGGTACTGGTTTATACTGGTTTATACTGGTTTATACTGGTTATGTCCCCAAGGCCACCTCGTCGCCCCAGCGGTCCCTCCAGCGCAGCCAGCGGCGCCGGTCGCGGCTGTAGCGCAGCCGGTACTGCCGCGCGAACTCGCGGCCGTGTCCCCCCGCGTGGCGTCCCTGGGTCCCCACCAGCGTCACCAGGTGCAGCCGGCCCAGGTCCACCTCCAGGAACTCCTGCTCGGCCGGGAACACCGGCCCCGCCGGACACCAGGCGCCGTCCCCGTCACTGCGGCCCAGCCTGGGGACATTTGGGGACACTTGGGGACATTTGGGGACATTGGAGACATTTGGGACCCTCAAGGATGTGGGAAGGGCCAAAGAATTTGGGGACATTTTGAGGTTTGGGGACACTCGGGGGACCTGCTGGACAGCAGGCCCTTATACTAGTTTAAACTGGTTTATACTGGTCTGTACTGATCTGAACTGGTTCTATACTGGTCCAAACTGGTCTGAACTGGTTTATACCAGTCCATACTGGTTTATCCTGGCCGGTACTGGTTTATACTGGTTTATACTGGTTTATACTGGTTTATACCAGTCCATACTGGTTTATACCAGTTCCTACTGGTCCATACTGGTTTATACTGCCCCATACTGGCCCATACTGGTCCATACCAGTCCATACTGGTTTATACTGGTCCCTACTGGTCCATGCTGGTTTATACCAGTCCATACTGGTTTATACCAGTCCATACTGGCCCATACCGGTCCATACTGGTTTATACTGGTCCATACTGGTCCCTACTGGTTTATACTGGTTTATACTGGTCCGTACTGGTGCGTACCGGCCGTGGCGGGCGGCGGTGGAGTCGGACCAGGCGCTGGAGGCCGAGAGGCGAAAGTCGGGGATGGTCCCGTCCTCCATGCCCAGGGCGAAGCGACAGCGGCCTGGGGACAGCGGGGACAGTGGGGACAGTGGGGACACTGAGGGGACACTGGGGACACTGAGGGGACAGTGGGGACATTGGGGAGAGTGGGGACACTGAGGGGACATTGGGGACAGCGGGGACAATGGGGACACTGAGGGGACAGTGGGGACACTGAGGGGACAATGGGGACACTGAGGGGACATTGGGGACACTGAGGGGACACTGAGGGGACATTGGGGACACTGGGGACAGCCAGGGGATTTGGGGACACTGGGGACATTGGGACAGCAGGGACACGGAGGGGACATTTGGGACCTTTGGGACATTGGGGACAATGGGGACAGCGGGGACATAGAGGGGACACGGAGGCGACAGTCAGGGGACTTGGGGACATTGGGGACATGGGGAACCTTTGGGACATTGGGGACATTTGGAGACATTGGGGGATTTGGGGACATTTGGGGACATTGAGGTGACGTTGGGACACTGGGGACATTGGGACCTTGGACCGACATTGGGGACATCTGGGACATTGAGGACATTGGGGACGCTGGGGTGACATTGGGGGATTTGGGGACATTTGGGGACATTGAGGTGACGTTGGGACACTGGGGACATTGGGACCTTGGACCGACATTGGGGACATCTGGGACATTGAGGACATTGGGGACGCTGGGGTGACATTGGGGGATTTGGGGACATTTGGGACATTGGGACATTTGGGGAACGTTGGGGACACTTGGGGACATTGGGGACATTGAGGTGACACTGGGGACACTCACCCAGGTCCAGCGCTGTCCCCTCCGTCCCCCGCGGGGTCCCCTCGGCCACCCCGGCCAGCAGCAGCAGGGGGAGGGGCAGCGGCAGCGCCGCCATGGCCCCGCCCCCAGCCCGAACTGGGAATGAACTGGGAGCACTGGGAGCCCCCCCAGCAGCTGCTCCCAGAATCCTTTGCTGGAATTCCCCCGGTTCCCCTCCCCCCCACAACAGCTGCAAAGGGGGCGTGGCTTCACCCGACCCCACCCAGTCATTTACATAAAAGTGAATATTCATTAACTGCCCTAAAAACCACCCGGGGAGGACAAGATTGGCCTCAAAATGTACCCAAAATATCCCGAAATTCCACAAATTTCCCCAAAATTTTCCCCAAACTCCCCTAATTCCCCCCAAATCCCCCCAAAATTCCCTCAAACTCCCCCAAAATCCCCAAAATTCTGCCAAAATCCCCCAAAATCCCCAAAAATTTCCCCAAATTTCCCCAAATCCCCCACAAATTCTCCAAATTTCCCCATAATTTCCCCCAAAATTTCCCCCAATCCTCCCAGCCCCCGAAAAATTCCAAATTTTCCCCAAACTCCCCCAAATTTTCTGCAAGTCCCCCCTAAAATTCCCCCAATGCCCCCTAAAATTCCCCCCAAAATCCCCCAAATCCCATGAACTGCCCCCAAAATTCCCCCAAATGCCTCCAAATCCCCCAAATTCCCAAAATACCCCCAAAAATCCCCCCCACACCCCCCCCAAACCCCCCCAAACCCCCCCCACCC